TGAAATCTTTGTTTTATGACTTAAGAACTTTTTAAAGCCTTGTATGTTCAACATTTGTGACTATTTAGTCAGAGATTTACAATAATGTCCTTGGGTTTTCAGGTTAATCTACTAATTGACAATGAGGCGGAGAAGGATTACCTTTATGATGTGCTGCGGATGTACCACCAGTAAGATCTAGCTTTATATATGTTTGTGTAGAATTTTACTAATCTTTTTAAATGTAAAGAGTGAATATTCAAGATTTTAAGTGGTCTTCCTATGTGCTACTAGAAAAGTAGTTGAAGTAATAGTTTTTATTCTGTTTAATGAAGTCTTATACTTTTACAGCGTAGCCTGCAGACAAGGAAGGAGCATGTCTGTAATCACCTATAAAGTTACTTTGGTTTTATGACTTGGCAGTTTTGTAAAAGAATTTGGTGGATTCATATCGGGGGGAGAAAAAAGCACCTGGATGATAAAACTGTTCTTAGGAAAGAGGAAGAGAGCGTTAATCAAATTCATTAGTATTTCCAAATGATGCTTATTTATTTGCAACAGAGGTTTTCATTGAGTTTGCTTTTCAAAGATTCTTGCTAGCTGTTCACATAAAAATTTGCAACTGTTTTATCTGAAAGCTGAAAAAATTTAGTCTGGGAATCTGACATGTTTAACAACTCTGGCTTATTATGACATAATGGGGAAAAAAATGGTAAGGTGATAGGCCTATTACCAATCCTTTTGCCAAACTGATTTAAACCACAGTTGCTTAGGACCTGTATCATTGCAAATGAGATCAGCATCTGATCCGTTGTTCTTCAAAGAAGATGAGAATGTATTTTCCACTCATCATAGACAAGTGGCTCTGATAGACTTTGTTTCCATTCATAACTTAATAGCATCTCAGCTGAGTGAAATGTAGATGTTTCCATCTGATGTTTGCACTGAGCTATAGTTATGGGTGTATTCAGCTACATATCTGATTCAGTTTCACTCAGGTCTGTCTAATTGCTTTTCCATTCATAAAGCCTGTTGTTTGGAAAGCCGGTTGATTCAGTAGCTCTTAATTATTTAAAATCTTCTTGCAGTTACACAATTAACAATGCATATAGTAATTTTTCTTCAATTTCTAAAATTGCAATGACTTGAGCAAAATTTTCAATATCTTTGTGAACATATGTTGACGATGTATCACTTTTTTGAATACATTATGAAGTATTCCAGGGAAAAAATATGTGCAATTGCTGTTGGAGTTAACACTTAATGTCTGCTTCACTGTGAATAGCATTTCCAAAAGTATTTGACCTCTAATCCCATGTAATATGCATTCCTGATCTGTATTTTCAGTGCCTCAGAAATATTGTATGCCAGGAAACGTAAATTATAAGAGAGGGAAGAGCAAATAATATAGACTAAGTTTAACTGGATGTTGTGTAGGAATAGCTCCACTGAATCTTAAGGAGCTGTTACTCTACTCTTGCAGCTGGGCAATGAAGTACATTTTCTAGACCTATAACTGTCTCAGTGCTGACAATATCAAGGAGACTACTTTGCATAGCTCTGATAAAACAGGTGTTCACAGCGGTTTAACTTCTGTGGATTTTGTTTATTGGTTGATGGCCCTTCAACTTTCATTTGAAAAAAAATTTAAAACTTAAACCAAGTCTTTGCTCTAACTACTGACTATCGTGATTTTTTTTTCCTGGATCAAAACAATTTGTCAGTCCCTTAAGTTCAGGAGAGGAAGAAGCTTGTAGCCTAGATTCACTTAGAAGGATTGCTAACTAGAAAGGAAACAAAAATCTAGTAGGCAGGTCTATCTCGTCTGGAAAGCTATTTCCAAATGGCTCCGTAAATCTTTTGGGGACTCTGAGAACGGAATTAAAAATGTCATCTATAAAAGTGATGTGAGTGACCTTAAAAGATAAAGGCAATATATAGGACATTTCAGTTATTTTGGAGGAGGTAGTTGTTATTCCTCTTTGAATCATAGAATCATTAAGGTTGGAAAAGACCTCTAAGATCATCGAGTCCAACCGTCAAACTTGCTTACAGAAGGCTTGCTTTCTCAGAGGCTATTTTGCTTTGGTTAAACCAATATCTATATAAATAACTTTTTCAATAGGTTGAAGGGACATGCAAATTTTGAAGCCATGTGTACAGCAAATTATTAAATGATGCTTTGTGTTGATGTGTTGATTACCTGTGCCTGTTTTCTCACTGTTTTTTGTAGATCTATGAATCTCCCAGTGCTTGTGGGGGACCTAAAACTTGTGATTAATGAACCAAGCAGATTGCCTCTATTTGATGCTATCCGCCCACTTATCCCATTAAAACACCAGGTGGAATATGATCAGCTTACACCCAAAAGATCACGGTAAGAGAATGCAGAACAATACAGCTAACTTAAATACAAGCAGGAAATACTGACTGAGTTTTCAGATAAACTCCGATTAAAATATCAGTCACCTGTGTAGAGCTGGGCATAATTTTTTTACTTTCGCTATATTTGCTAGAAGTACAGTTTTGAGCTACTTGAAATTGTTTGCCAAGTAGTTTAATCTAGTAAAAGCAGGGTAAGGGAGTAGAAAAAATATGCTTTCCAGTTGAAACAATCTTTTCTCATTTTTCCTGCATTTAATTTAAAAAAAAATTCTTGTAGCTCTAACCCTCTAGAAGCAGACAGCTTCAATGATTGCAGGTGTCTTTTCTTATGAAAAATACTTGATGGCTTTAGCTAACACACATCCATCCAAACTTCAGTCAACTTGCTGTTTTCATGCCTAAATGTTATAAGAGAAAAATAATGTGTAACTTTGAAACGTTATTGCCATGAAGTGTTATGCAGCTGAACAGCCAAGTATCTTCCATTTTTGCAGAAAGCTGAAAGAGGTGAGACTGGATCGTTTGCATCCTGAAGGACTTGGAATAAGTGTGAGAGGTGGAGTGGAATTTAACTGTGGCCTGTTCATCTCCCAGTTAGTTAAAGGAGGACAGGCAGACAATGTTGGACTTCAGGTAAGAAAATTATATTCATGGCTGCTGTGCTGCAGAAAGCCTTTTGCTACAATGTTAGGGAAGCAGGCAGTAAGAATTTTCTTTAATGTTTAGAAATAGCTATTGCTAAAGGTGCTCTTTGTCTCTTGTAATAAAATTCATAAAATATGTAAGTCCATGCCATAGTAAATACCATTATACCGATGGTGAATCAAGTTACTAAAATTGTTCTTTTCTTTTCACCAATTTTAATGATATGTAAACCTTTTTCATATTTGGGATATGATAACTTTTTAAGATAAAGGGACTTTCTGGAGTGTTTATACTTCATGAGTAGCAACAGTTAAATGTAAGCAGATGGAAAGAAAGATCTCTTACTAGACTGTGGAAGAGTGTTTTAAGTTGCCAAATTCTGATTAAATGTAAAACAGAGCATATAAATACTAAAACTCTTAATGCTGTCCTGCACAGATATAATCTGTGTAATGAAGTGTTTATTTGAACTTCATGTATAAATTGTGGGGGTTTTGGTTTATGCAATGGAAGTACATAAAAGAAAGAACCTATTTTTAACCATTTTCAGTATCCTTTGTACTGTGTAGAATTGCACTTTCAGTGATTACATTTTAGATAGATGAACTGTAAAAAGATTGGCAAAAATAATTATCTATAGAAACATTTTTTCTATATTGGTACTTATGCAACTTGCATTAATGAAATTTTGGGTGTTTGGTTTTTTTGAGTGTGTCATTTCTTGCTCGTATAGATCTTAGTGAAGAGAGAAGTGAGCAGTTGGTATGGCAAATGTCTGCATCTTTCTATGCTTTTGAAGCTGATAAGGTGTATTAAAGGTCTGTGTTTCTGAGTAGAAAGGCTGATATGCCTGGCTAACTTCAGTTTGTCAAGTGTGAATAGTTGCTGGAAGTACTGATGTTTAAGGATTATATTTAATACTAGTCCAAAATGTATTAGACTGGCATGATTCATTACAGTGTTTAATTAAACTAATGTGTTTTGTAGATATGCTTCAGTGTAACCCCACCACTCTCGTAAATTTAAAAAAAAAAAAAAAACCAAACAGCTCTGTGTCGACAAGGCAGTCAAAGTTAGGGTACCATGTTTGTATAATTCATGCTGAGAGCTTTCTAAAATTTGAATAAGTGTTCCTCTCTCTGCATGCATACATGCATGTACCCTTTTGTTCATTCATACCTATATATCCCATTCATTAATTCAGAATCACCATTGAATTAGTTCTGTCTTCTGGCAGCCTGCTCTGGACCAGCACATGACCGACTCCGTAGACGCTTTTAGAAGTTCCTTCTTAGAACAAAACCACAAATTCAGGGAATACACCCCCACAAATTCTGTATTTAGTTAGAATTGAGAGGGTGGCATAGGACACCACAAACACTGTGCTGGATGTGTTGGTAGCCTACTTTTAAGCATGGGATTTGCCAGTGGGTAACTCCAGAAAAGGGTGTTGATGCACCTTCCCAGAGTTTGTACTGCAAAAGCTTGTGTACCTGGTGCACTACATTACACAGTGAGAATGGGAAATGTAGACAAGAGAGTTGTTCCTGGATTGTGATCAGCTCAGTAGAGAGATTCCAGCTGCATCCTTCTTCCACTGCTAGAAAACTGAGCAAAAGACAAAGACCAGTCACTTACATGGCTTTTGAAATGGTCTCCTGGAAATACTGGAAGGCATTAATGATGCTGAGCAATGAAGGACTTAATAGCCACTGTCTTAAACTGTCATGCTAGTACATTCATCTTAATGCTGTATTGTAGCTCTGCTTCTCTGCTTGTTTCAGACTAATGTTTTGACATGATCGATAGATAAGGAGTTATGCTCAGTTGTGCTACTGTAAGGACGTCAATTTTTGTTTTTTCTCAGTATGCAAAAAGGCCCTACTGGCTTTCTGTGACTGAGGCCATTGTACTACATGTTGGTGACAGTGAATGGGATTGTAAAGGATCTTTAGGCTGGGTTGTACAAATTGTACTGCAACTTAGAATGTGGTTGGAGTTTGGCAGACAAAGTAGGGACAATAAGGGGGAAATATGCTTGAGACTGACTATGGATTTGTTAGATTATATGTATTAATATGAACAGATGGTGCTTCGCAGCTCACGTAACTGTCTGACTTACGTTTTTTGATACGTGGTGTTAAAGCTCAGCCTAAAGTGCCTTCATAATAGGTGGCATTAGGCACTTTTTGAACCCCACTGAATAACAAGAGCTGACAGGCAGCCCATTGTTCTAAATTGCTGTCTCATAGTAAAGCCAACTGCTTCTGAAATTTCACCCACCTGCTTTATTTAACTAAATCTCTACACATTTTCTATCCCAAAAATGCTGTCTGAGAAAGGTATAATGATCTTCTATTATACTATCAGTTTTACATCCTGCTGCTTTTTTAAAAAATTCAAATTCATTTTGCATGATTTCTCCGTGAAGTAGTTTCCAAGCTACATTAAAATGATTGAATGATCATGAAGGCTTGCTGAGGCATTTGTAGTTTTGACCCTTTTTTAACTACCATTTCTCTAAAAGGCAAGTGTTCTGTCTTTTCATGAAGAAATGTACTTCAGGGTTTTTTTTTCCTCTGCTTTCTGATACTTCTGTCTGTGGGGATTCTGCTGAATACAAAGAGATGGAGATTGGTATGAGTGATGAAAGTGGAAGAAGTATACAAAATGAGAAATTTGAAACAGTGATGCTATTATATAAAAACCCTTCAATTTCCTGGAAGCACTAAATATTATATTTCTTATGTTAAAAGTTACAAATAGTAGGCATTTTACTTGGGGAAAAGTTAGGTTTGCAGCTTTTCTTTTGAAAGTCCGTCATCTCCCTGTTTGATAGGGAAAGGGAAACAGTGATATATAATAACAAAGTAATTGTTACTGTTCTACTCTGTTCAATCCTGCAGACTTTTATCTCTACTGCTTCTGATTGAGAAGATTACTATACAGTGATACCAGTACAAAAGTAACAAAATATATGAAAACAGCTATTAATTACTTCAGTGTATAGAGACTTTTAGCAGGAAAAGCTGTTCAAGTGTCCTGAAGAGAAGCAGTTTGTTACATGTCTACATCTCCTGTAGTTCAGCCTAGATTGGTGTATTTCTAAAGCACCATCAGTCATACATTGTCAGTCAGTAACAGAAATGTCATTAGGATGAGTGAAGAGTACTAGACTGTCTTTTTGTTTCATTTCTGAAGCTCAGCAAAGAGGAGTATTAAAAATATCTATATGGGAAAAGTTCATTCCCATATGGGAGGGAAAAAATAAAATATGCTCTTTGCTGCATTTATAATTTTGTAAGTGTGTGACTCTTAGGGAGATGATATAATACTAACAGATATGACTCGCTTAGTGAATGATGTCATCCTCAGAGCAACACTTGTTCTGGTGATACAGAAGCTATATGGAGATTCATAAACAGTGCTGCCATTTGCAGTCCTAAAACTGGGATGTTTCTGTGTGTTATGGCATTGTAGTTAATAACAGTAGGTTAGGTTACCCTTTTAAAAAGCTGTGTTTGTGCAAACCCAGGCTCCATGGTCTGTTATAGTCTGCATGATGTGGAAGATGTGAGTAAAGGAGGGATCTTGAACTAAACTAAAACCACAAAAAAACCCACCAAGAACAAATACGTAAGATCAATAGAAAAGTCTAGGTAGATCAAATGAGGTCAATATTGCATACTTGAGGTTAAATAGTTATATGCAAATGTATGGTATTTTTTGCAAGTGAGTAACCAAGAGAAAGGCCAGAGATGGGAATGGAGGAAGCTTTTTGAGCTTTTTACTATTGACTAACTCAACCTTCCTTTGAAAAGCAGAGGTCACTCGCTTTTCTACCATTTCCTAGAATAACCAGTAGAATCCTAAATAGGCTGAGAGTCTTTATGGTTTGTAGAGGATATTGAGTCTTTACGCACAGTGCCACAATTCTGACTTATCTCTGAGCCATTTTGCTTCTTGGCAGTACAGTCACATTGCCAGTGCTAATAACAGTCCTAAGAATACATTAGTTACAATGGATTTCCTGAAGCACCGAGGGCAATGGAACAGCTCTAGACTAAATTCTTGGTTTTGGGGTGGGGAACTAGCTTAGAATTTAGCAGAGGAAAGAGGAGTGCAATAGCATGGCTGCCAGGCCTGTGGGGTGGGTGGGTGGATGGATGTGGTTTTGAACGTTTGGAACAATTTGGTTAACTGAGTGTTCTTTCATAGCGAGAGCTGTCAGGGGTGTGACACTAAACTGCAGACCCCATGTGTTTTTCCTTGTCTGATTCTGCATTTTTACCACAGGCTGTAGGTTCAAAAGCCTTCGGTACTGACCTATTTCTGCTCTTATTAAAGTTCATGCTAAAAATCTGACTGAGTTAAATGAAAACAGTCAAGCTCTTGGGAGTGCTGCAAATTGCACGCAGGCCATTACCCTGGGTGAGATTTTTGGATGTCCAGCAGGTGGAGCAGCAGCCCCACTGGTTAGGGGCTGGGGACTACAGTCATGTTCTACCTCTGCAAGTGTGTTCTCTTCTGCAAGACAGTCACATATTGCATTTTCTTTGCTTTTGTAGTCTTTCGACGCTGTGTTATGTCAGATAGAAATATTTGAGTTCAGTGGAGAGGAAACTGCACTACATGAGCTATGCTGGTACAGTGGACGTGTTGTTAATGTTTTGTGTACTATTGCAGAGCATATGGCACTTCCCAGAAGCAGTAGAAAAGTTTGTGAAAGAAGTGAAAAAGATAAGCAGGTGGTTTGTTGTTTTGTTGGGTTTTTTGGTTTTGGTTTTTTTAGCTGAACAGATCACGGTAGGAAGATTTGATAATACTTATTACATATGAAAAAAGGCAGAAGGTGATGGCATGCCCAATGTCCTGTCACCAAAGGGTAGACCTGTTACAGTGTGTGTTAATGTGACTGTCTCTAAGACATAGGCCATATTGAGGAATTCCGAATTCCAGTTTCACTCCCTCCTCTCAAATAAATGTGGTGATGCAAATTTAGTCTTTTGGTGCTGAGCTGTGCAGTGCCAGAGGAGGAGTCTCCAGCTGTGCCCATTTTTTCCCTAAAACTGTCAGCAAGGTACAAGGAAGCTAGTCCTCAGTGAGCTAGACTGTGACTTCTTCACTTTTTTCAGGCACAGGTACTCCCATCAAACTTGTGTGATGGAGGAAACAGTGGATACACTGTATGATTTAGTCTGTATGGCCACAGTAGATCACTTGCTCAGTCTGACTAAGACTGGTGGCGTTACCTTCTATCCTTCGAGTGAACAGTAATGTTGGAAAGGGGAGACTAGAAGTATCTGGCTCAAAAGAAAAAAAAACTTAAAATTTGGGTCACAGTTATGTAAGGTGGCAATTGCTTGCACAGTCTTAAACGCATTAAAGATTACGATATTTATTGTAATACTGTTGTGAATATTACAATGAAGTCTTTAATTCTGTAAGCAGATAGTGTTTTTTGCACAATGACTTTTTTTTTTTTTTGCACCACCTTAGTGGTTAGGGCTGAATGAATCTTCTCATCCCTTTCTGTTCCTGGTGACTCTTCTGTGCCCCCTGCACTCTGGAAGAGCTAACTCTTCTGATCTTCTGCAGCAGCAGTTGAAAGTGTGTTCACAACTCATCTTGGTACCAGGGGCTGGTGCACTGGCAGTCCCAAAGCAAGTGGATGAAAGGGAAGTTCTCCCCAGATCAGAACTAGTATAGCCAGAGTCTTTATATTAACTAACTTTCACCAAATGCATTATGATGAACCTGCCTCTTCTCCTAGACTTTTTAGTCAATAAAGATGTTCACTAAGACTGTAAAAAATTGTGCTCTTAATTTATAGTATAAGGACCTTTTCCAAACCTAAAGTGAAAGCTTTGTTCTTGTGGAGATCAAAGTACAGAGATATAAGAGGGTGTTGTTGATGATTTGTTGTTAAAGCCATTTCCTGGTAATCGTTTGTATATCCTACCGTGCAGAGGATTGATTTGCATTGCCTAATGGAAGAGAGTATGCACTAGTTTTCACACAGCCATGACACATGGTTCACAGTATGTAAAAGTCTTTGCTTATGATGCTCTAGCCAGGGCCTGGCATTTTTCAGTGTTATCTTGAGCAGATAATAAGATACAACCTTAAATGAAGTGGGCAATCAGTCTCCATCACTGATTCCTTCTCAGTCTACCTAGCTAAGGGGATCATTAGGGAGAGTTCACAGAATCTTGGAAATTTCTAGTCTAGTCATCATACCAAATTTGGATTTGTATTAGAGGAAGGGAAATCTTTTGAAATAAAAGCTTTCCAATGATGTACTGTCATTTTATCACCAAATAAACATTCGTCCTATTAGTTCTTTCGTGTGTTCTGATAATTAAGATTTGAAATTTTATAGAAGCAGCTGAAAGCTTATGGCACCCTGTCTGTTCTACACTAGTGAGGACTGCTAGGGAATATTCTTGGGGTGCTGCTATTTGATTGCTGATAGATGTTAGGGTGGTCCCCAGTGTGCAGTTCAGGTGATAACACATGCCAGGGGTGATTCCTAGAGAGCAGGTTACATGGAGCCACCCTGCTTTGGAGGAATTACCTTCAGTGCTAGAGAATGGTCTTTGTACTTAATTTATATACCAGGACATACGTAGTTTCTGTGTAAAGCTGGCCTGTTTTAGGATCAGACCATGAGTCTTGGAGATAAATTGAATGCACTGCATAGATTCGTTTCTACAGTCTTTTGCTTCCAGATATGTTACTTCTTTTTGGTGCAGTATACTAATATAAAGATGCTGGAGGATAGTTCAGTTGTTTTTGTATTTCTGCTCTCATTCCTTCATGAGAGTTTTCTGATATGTTTTTCTGTGATTTGTTCAGAACAATATTGAAGTCTTTTAAGGCAGGTAGTACACACTGGCAATGAGGGTTATCATTTACACTAGTATGCAGTTAGTTATCTAGTATTATTTTTTTGCTCTAGAATACCTGGTTTGGTTTTTTTTTTCCTATTAGTAAACCCGCTACATCTTTTCTCACACAACAGGTGAAACCTGGGTGGAAAATTCCAATTGCTTTTCAGTCCATTGTATACCCAATTTGTGAGACAAAATGCACGTAGGTTTGGAAGGTAATCAAAAAAGGCCTGTATCTCTACAGAGACCCAGAGCCAATCCCTTAGGGTGGAGGACAGAGTACAAATTACTGGTCCTTTCAGTCAAGTTATCTTCATCTAAATTTGCCTCAGGGCTAACACTAGTTTTCTCTCTGCTATTCAGAGTGCATGTTCTTGGTCTGCTCTGTAGCTGACTATGCTCCCTGTCACCCATGAATACCAAAAATATATATATATATATATATTGCATACACATGGAGGCCTGAGTAAGCTTGGGAATAAGTGACTGACTTGACTATCTGGTGGGAGATTCCTTCTATGTTTCTGTCTCAAGTTTTCTCACTTTTTTCGTGTCACACAACAGGGGGAATGCCACAGCCTAGGGGCCACAGTAGGGTGGTGGTACCATCTTCTCAGCCATAGCGTATGATGGGTTGCTGCTGTGAAACACTTGAAAATCTGTCACACGAGTAGCATACAAGTTTGTAACTAATGTAGATGATCCAAGTGACTTAAGCTACTGCATCCCAGAATAAGCATTCATTATGCTAGTACATGACTATTGTAATTAATCAGATGTTGCACCTGAAATGGAGGTAAATTCCATTAAAATAATGCATTGTTCTGAATCCAGAATCGGGCAAGGTAGTAAGACCAAGTTTAGTTTCCTGTTGATCAAAATAGTTAAGAAGGGATGAGAACATGTGGTAAAAGCAAACTTAAGCTGCTGAAGTATAAAGGAAGAAAGTCACTCCAAAATTATTTGAATTGAAATACAGACACTTGTAATTAAGGTAATCTGTGGAGTACAAATCTGATGTGTAGAGACTCATTTTTATGCTTTCCTCTAGATATTATTTATAAAATTGTTATTCGGCCATTAGTCTGCCCTTTTGGTGTTAAATACTAAGTTCAAACAAATACAGGTAAATCTGATCTGGACATTAACTGAAATTCAAAAAGTATTCAGGACTCAACATTATCAAACCTTTGCATCAAAATGATTGCCAGATTGTATCATTGCTTAAAAACTTTTTAACGTTAATTTACAATCTAGTTTTTCTTCTCCCTTTCATTTTTGAGGTTGGAGATGAGATAGTTCGTATAAATGGATATTCCATTGCGTCATGCACACATGAAGAAGTCATAAACCTCATTCGTACAAAGAAAATAGTGTCCCTAAAAGTAAGATGTAAGTAATATAAAAAATCACCTGTATCACTAAAGATTGCTGTTAATAGATTGCTAGTGATCTGTAGAAAGTATTACTTAACAGAGTATTTTTCTTTTTCAGATATTGGCATGATACCTGTCAAAAGGTAATGGTATTTACTTTGAAAACAAATTAGGTTATTCATTTTTACATAGCCTCTTCAATATCCAGAGAACCTCTGTGTTTATCTGTGTTTTTGAAAATGTGTGAATGGGCATTTCTGTAGCTGATTAAAATATCATGTCCTTTGTGATAAACAGGCAGATGTCTTGTTTGATGAATCTGACTTTGTATGCCAGTTGCCTATTTAATTTAACCAACTTCTATTTCTTCATTATTCCTGGATATTACCTGGAAATTTCATTATCATGCACCTAGCTTAACGGAGAGCTCCACTGCTTCTTTATGTACGTAACATTTGATGATTGCTTCAGCGCTTAGAAAAATTTCAAATTATTGTCCTCTTCCAATTTTTGTTGAGAAGTTGAAATGTTAAGTGGAGTGTTTGAGAAATGTTGATGATGGGAGGTGTGTCTCTGCATAGACATTTATATAAGCAGTTCAAGTTGTTATGATTATTTTTGCAGTCTTTCTTAGTTTCCCAAAATTGTTTCACTTGAAGAGGTTTTCTCAATTTTATGTTTGATCAGCTTTACTAGCCTAAATAATTGTATGCTTGTTTGATGTTCTATTTAAATTGCTGGAAAATAAACCAGTTGTTGTGAATGGTATCCAGAGGAACTTGTGGATGCAAAACAGGAGGCCACATTCTGAAGTAGCTTCTTGAATACATTCACATCTATTTTGTCCCCATTATTTTAAATTACTTTTTCCTTCCAGTTCAGCAGATGAACCCCTTAAATGGCAATATGTGGACCAGTTTGTGTCAGACTCTGGGGTAAGCAATCAATATTTTATTAAGGTGTTTTCTGGGAAATCTGTAATGGTTCTGAAATACTTTCTCCTCTGACCTTATCACAGAAGTTACTGTGTGTATTTCTATGATGCACTATCTTGTTACAAGGGTTCTGGGACAAACATCTTTTGTGATATGAAATGATTCTAGAATCATTAAATAAGGAAAGGGCAGGATACAAATGAAATATCTTTTACTCATTAATTGGTACTTTACTTTGCTTGAGCTTATTAACTTACCAGGCTATAGTACTACTGTATAAATCTTTAACAGATAATTTGGTCTATCTTAGCTATATTAGTGGAGGAATGACAGGTATGAATGCAAGTGACTTCTGTGGGTTGCAGCAATGAAAAAAGAGACTGCAATTACTGTGCTTTTGCTTTCAGGAAGAAAGACTTAGTTAAATAGTGAGCTCTATCAAGTATTTTTCCAGTTCTTTTGTCAGGGAATGTCTAAATGATTATTTTTGCCATATCACTTTCCTCTAATTTTCCTTCATCCTTTTTTGAAGACAAAGTTTGACTATTTAAACGATCTTCTCCAAGTAGAAAGATAAGTTCAGTCTTTCACCTCAGCCATGCAGCTCCACTGATATGACTGTACTTCACATTCATCTCCAGTAGGAACTCAGAGAAATCTTATCTTGATGTTGGCAGGGTTTGATCCTGGCTTCATGAAGTTTTATAATAGTCTTGATACGAGTTCAACACAGAGTAACATCTGCAGCGGTTTTTTAATCCCCTACAGGAAGGAAAGGGCAGTGTTGCTGGTCTTGCTTCTTCTGGAGGGAGAGAGAATAAAGAGAAGAAAGTCTTCATTAGCTTGATTGGTACAAAAGGCATGGGATGCAGGTGGGTACGTGTTTCTCATTGAATGTTACTAGTTTAAGTGAGACATCCAAGGCAGTTATTTCTATCCTTCATTGATGTGGTATCAATGGAGAAAATGGAGATCCACGCTGGATCAGGAAGGCAAACTGGAACAGGAGGATATCTGTGGCCCACATTATGTATTATTAGACAAAGCATAAATACCTGTGTTAGAAGTTCTGACTTAAAACCAACAAAAATATTTTAAATTTAAAAATAAGAGCAGGCTGAAAGTGACATAATACAAGTTGTCATGGAATTGGATCTTTTAAATGCTTTTACATTTTAAAATACTTTTAAATGCTGCTTTGTGACATAGCAAGTTCCAGCGCTGTCTGGTGTCAGGTTCACTCTCTGAACTTCAACTGCTTTCTATTACCCTTTTCAGAACTGAGAAGCTGTCATACAGCTATATTCAGTTCCTAAAAGTAATGTTGAATTTGCAAGATTTTTGGAAATATTAACAGATGCTTCTCAGACTCCTGTCCTTGCAGCTAGTTATGGAGACTTTGGGGCAGAAGGGATATTGTAGGATTTCTTATCTATCTAGGAATATATAGTTGAAGTTACTAAGATTGAACTGCACAGAATATTTTTTTAAAGCGTAAGTTTTCTTTCATATTATTTGGAAGATCTAAAGGTTTTTAAAAAAATATTTACAAACCTGGTGGGGTGGTTCATCATCACCTGCTGGATATATTATCTATGAAAATCATTGCTGTGTTTGGGCCCAGCTTAGACTGCAGCTTTAAGTTTCCAGGGCAGATGTTGGCCCTTGGTTGAAATATCCTTCTTGCTTCTAATAAATAATCCTGAACAACAACGTTGTATTATACATACAGTATACCGCAGTTCAGTGAGTAGAAGTGCAAGAAATTAGTAATTCTTCGTTGTGTTACATGCTTGCTTTCCAATGTCATTAGTGTCCCAGTCCCTTAGACAGTGTAGGTCAGTATACTATGTTAGTTTCAACATCTAAGGAAAAATCTAGAAGCTTGAATATTTTTCTTTTAGCTTTTTCTTAAATCACAGTTCTGTGGTGTAAAGGATAGAAAAGTAGGATGATAAACCATTGTGTGTGTACTGGCAAATTTTGGTGTTTGTTTCAGAGAAGGCTAGTACCACAAAAACAGTCTTTAATTGGAAACAAATTATGAGAAGACAACTAAGACTTCTCATGGTATTACACTCTATTATTCTATAAATATTATCCTATAAATGTTTATTTTTTTATATTACACCAGTATTTCCAGTGGTCCAACACAAAAACCAGGCATTTTTATCAGCAATGTTAAGCCGGGTTCTCTTTCAGCAGAAGTGGGCTTAGAGGTAAGTATGCCACCTTCCAAGGTAGGTACCTCAAGGAAATCGTGTTTGGTATTTACTACCTCAAGGATTCTGGATCACTGTAAAGTCACTAGCTGTGGGTTTTTTTCCATGGGAAAGAAATACTGTGTGGTTACATTTCAAATGAAGAGAGTTTCCTAAACTTTAAGAACATGAGAAGTGCCCTCCTGGATCAGACCGATAGTTCATTGAGCTCAGTATTCGGTCTCAAACAGTAGCAATAGGAAATGCTAATATGGGAGGATGTGCAGGCCTGCCCAGTTTCTGCTGTTCCCCTTGCACTTTGCCAGTACCCATGATTATTGTATTAAGAATGTTAGAGAGTATCTCTTTTTCTGTTTTCGTTTAATATATGTACTAATTTAGCATCTGTACTAAAATTTGGATTAACTCCTTTAGGTTGGTGATCAGATTGTTGAGGTAAATGGAGTGGACTTTTCTAATGTGGATCATAAAGAGGTAAGATCAAGTCTTCGTAATTCCCCGAATACGTAGTTGTCAGTTTATTAAGCACCTGTCTGATTTTCCTGGCTGCAAAAAATATGTTCTGATATCAGGCTACTTAACCAAAGAGTTTGTGTATTGAACGTGGGAACTTGGAGATTTGAATACCTACCACCCTGTTTAGTTCCGGTGGGTCTTCTGGAAATTCCAGCCTTGACAACCAGCATCTTTCATCTTACACATACAGGCCTTTTATCACTTAATTCAAACTGATTTTTGTTTTGCTTTAATTTGCAGGCTGTCAGAGTGCTCAAAAGTAGTCGTACTTTGACTATCTCCGTGGTAGCAGGCGCTGTAAGTAGTATATGTATAAAAGCAGAACACTTGTGAAGATTACTATGCAGGCAAATAAATGATAAAAATAAATAGATAAGAAGTAAAGCTGTGTTTCATTATAATGTCTATACCACTAAATTCTGTCAAGCCAGGGCAGTGTTGAGTGGCTTTTGATTATTTTATTGATAACCACAGTATTCTCTAACAGTTTCATGACTGGGCCAGTGCAAAACCATTCCCTTGACAAGGCATGGAAATGAACTTTATCATAATGGTTTCTCATGTTTGAGAGCTTCTGTTCTAATAGATAGTTGCTCCTGC